CAGGCATAGAGAAAAACCTAAGCTCACACTAGCCTATGTGAACTGTCCTATTCATGAACAGAGGACATATCTAACAGCACACCTGGGATAGACTTGATATGAGCCAAATAACTGGGAGGCATTAAAGCCAGGCACTGAGGACCTCTGTTCCTGTGAAGTTATAACTAACTTAGATTCCAGCAAATAGAAAACAAACTGCTTTGCTCTGAAGTTAATTTAATACCCACATAGGTGCCAGACTGAGTTAGAGCTTCTACTGAAATATGTAAAAGGGCTGGAATTGCCACATGAAACTGCCACAAGCATTTTCCAAACATATTAAATATTTCATTCAGGTACAAAGTAATATTCATATCTGTGGAGTTTGTCACATTGAGTCCTCTAAATGTGTTTTTTTCTCTGAAGTTACGCAACTTTTAAAAAATTATTATTATTTTTCCTATTCCCATCTAATCTGGAAAACAACAATTTATGCCTGCAGTAAAATGTCTCAAACACAGAACAAAGCTGATTTCATCAATGTGTAATCTTAGATGGAATCTTACCTTGTCTTCTGTTTTACCCTTTATTTTTATGTAGAATTTTTTTGAGAAGTCTTGTACACCAAAACTCTAGTCTTATTATAGTTACGTAAAAAATAAAACTGACCTTACCGGAATTCCATGCCACTGGGGACCATAAGATGGGCAACATACGATGACTTGTGAAGTCCCATGCTAGCATTCCCCGTGCTTGCAGACACTACTAAAATAAAGTCCTGATGTGCATAATGAATATTTGTAGGGAGGAAGTATTTTCATGATACTACTTGAATACAATAAAACGGGCACAGAGGCATTAATTTTGGGCACCTCCATTTCTGGGTGCTTCAGAGAAGATATTTAGCATCTAATTTGTAAAGTACTAAACTTTGAGAAGGTTCCAGCTGCCAGTGACTAACAACAGAAACTAAGCACCAAAATATTACGGTTCTAAAATTTAAGAACTTTAATTGTTTCAACCATCTTTTTGGACAACACCATGTTCGTGGAAGGGAACACGGAGAAGTGTTTTTTCTTCTCCCAGTGAAATTGTTTCATGTTATATAGACAGACTCATTCCAGGTGGATACAGGCATTTCCCTACAGCGGTTGTATGTATCCAGATTACCCTGCACTCTCTATACGGTAGATTCCCTTTGAAAGCAACGGTGTCACCGGAAGCCTGGCTGAACACGTAAAACGTGCAAGACCAATATGTAGCAGAGATGCTTGATACATGCCTTGGGGAGCTATTTGCATAATCTACTTTAGTCATCCAAGTGAGATTAAGCACAGCCAGCTAGGAGCCCAATTTCCTTGGGCAGACAATGCATGAAAAGCTAAGTATCTCCAGAGGACAACCAAGGGACGTTAGGTCAAAAACCCATAAGTTTAGACAAACACACCAATAGCTCTAAGATCCTTTAAAAGTCAATACAGAAAGAGGAGCAATGCCAGCAGGCAATTGAGACATATAAGACATGAAACAAACTGCTGGGGCATCTTTTTCACCACTGAATATAAAGGAAGCCAGAGGTCCTGCAGTGCCGGTGGTATCTCTGCTCACAGATGAGAGCAGCCCACAGGGATTTTCTGTAGTGCCCTACCAGCTGGTCTGGCACCACCAGTTACCTTTCATGAACATTTGTTCAATTACCCTTCACCTCTCACTCAGTTTTGATAGTATTCTGTGTGGTAGTGGGGTTTTCACAAATATGTTAGTGTAGTTACCAAATTGGAATTGGTCGTCTTCTGAGTGCTACACTGAACTCTCAGTAACTTAAAGACTGCCAAATCTCACTCTTTTTTATGATAAGCAGTAGATCGACCCGTAAAATAGACGTGCTGAACTTTTTAAAGTATGGCCGATTGCAATCTTATTTTCAATGTCTAACTCACTCACTTTTTTTTAAAAAAAAAAAACCACAAATAGTAGTATTATTACACTGAAGTTATGTTTTCATACCTTCCAAGCAGACACTTTTCTGCAGCAGCCTGTAATTCAGCACTAGGTGGCCTCTTTCTTCTTTCAGAGAAGGTCTGATATGTGATTATATCACCTAAAAACTTAACCAAAAGTAAAAAAATCGTTAAGCAAATCTACAGATCTTTGTTCACTAGGGTTTTAAGATGGATATTGCAAAACAGCTCATTGTTTCCTAACTGGAATGCATTCACTGTAACTCAGAATACAGAACTGAATATCTGTAACTTGGCTTGCAGCCTGAGCCTTGAACAATGTTTTATCCACACAGCAACCTCCAAGGAGGTACACATAGTATTTTATTCCTGGGGGAAAAAAAAAATCACAATGTCCCTTCATCCAACTCATAGACGCAAGAGTGTACAGAAGGGAAGAGGATGTGAAGACAGAATAGTTACTCTACTCTGCTTAGGTTTTCCCAGGTGAGATCCAAAAAAGCAATCAGAGCTTCACCTCCCCCTTTGAACGAAGCTCATGCACTCCAGCAGTGTGTCCTCTTGCTGCCACGTGGGCTGCAAAAGCAGAAAACTGTGATGAATCATGGAGCATTTAAGAGACTTTCATGGATGGTGAAAAATCTAATGGGATTGAGGTTTCTAACACAGGGACCAGCATATAATAGTTTAATTGGAGCATTTAGCTTTCTTGAAGAGGCTAACAAGGAAATGAGGCATTGCCTACAGCAAGAGAGCACTCTGGCAAAATGGCTTCAGGACAGGGGTTCTTAATTTGCCTTTCAGTATTTCCCAACCACAGAAAGCACAATCCCTTTATTGCAAAATCTCTGTGCTTCTGCAGCATAAGCTTTGTGCTAAACAAATGCCTGCAAGCACATTCAGCCTTTAGAGCGGTATGTGCTGTTATGTGAGATCACATAAGGAAATAAAGCATGTTTTGCCATGGTGTGGCTGAACAGCAACTTCCTCCATCAGTAGAAACGGGATGAATTTGTTTACAGAGCAGGTGAATGCTTCATGCCAGGCAGAGAACAAAGACTGGAGGCTGCAGAGCCACTAAATGAAGAGCCAACACAAGGGTGATCTACAACAGCCTGCTTCTCTGGGGAGTCATATCACCCCCGTGAAGAGGAAAGTGATTAGTGACTTCTTTTGGTCACCGCGTGAAAGAGAACACATAGTTCTCCCTTCGCCCTGCTGTCCTCTGACTTAGTTCCACTGCTTCTTTGGAGTATTTTTCTTTTTGAACCAGTGACAGGGAGGGTTTAAGGCCCCAGTAAAGCTGAAGACAGATTTCCTCTTTGTGCTATCATTAAATATTGGGTCTGTAAAGAGCTTGGAGACACAAACGGAGCAAGGGCAAAGGAAATGCTCTGTACGACAGCTGTAGATGTTAACTGCCAGCATTACGCTACCTTATTATGAGCTGTTCAGAGAGGATGTTAAATGTAATTTACTGTTATATTTTCAGCTCGTCTAACATGCAGTAATGTTATGACAAAAATTATGGGACAGGTACAGGTGGCAACATGAACACAGCAAAGATTTATGACAGGGTCCATAGCAGGAGGGAGCTCTGGGAACAACCTCTCAATTCTTCATGTGTCTCCAACCGCATCTATCTTGATTCACTGGGCCATGTGTTACCAGTGTCCCAACACACCAGAACAAGTCCTCAGAGCTGTCACCTGCTCTGCGACCCAAGGAAAACCTGTGAACATTCCTCAGTAATTATTCAGAGGCTTTCAACAGACCCTCATGCTGAATCCACCCTGTTCATTCCACACGAACCTCTGACATTTTTTCAAATGGCAGATTTTTTGTTTCAATGGTATGCCTTAAAAGGGTCTTGCTTAACTGAAGTGCCGTCTTAGCAATGGACAATGACGTAATTTCCCACCCTGCTTGGGAATGGATAAAATCTGCTCCTGCCTTCAGCATGAAGTCTGCTCTGGGTACTCTTGCAGCTCAATTAGCTAGTCGGTAGCCCGACATTAAGAACTTTCCTATCTGTTTTCATTACTCGTTTGTGTTTCCAGTTCATCCTAGAGAGAGTTACCTGCAAAGTATCAAATCTCAGCAGAAAAGTAGCTAGTAGCTAGAAAAGCGGCTAGTTGTCTTGTAGTTCAGATCCATGCTGGACTCAGAGATGAAGGAATAAACATTCCTGACTCTTCTGGGTAATTTCTTTTTTAGGTGTTCCAGTGGATGAAAGAAGGCTCTCTTTGAATTCATGCAGGGGATGAAGATGAAAATAAAATCAGATGAAAGACTGCCAAATCCCAGGCTGAGAGCCAGTGGTGTCCACAGGGCTCTCCCCAGTTAATATAGCACATTTAGTATCATACTCTAAAGTCTTTTTTCCTAGACTTGTCCTTGAAAACAACTCCCTTGGGTTGTATTATTTCCCTAATAAAAGCCCACATGTTCCGAACTGCGGCAGTCTATTACCACAGATTTGAAAGAAAAACAAGTCTTTTTACTATTAAACATGTTGATTACATTACAAAGTCTATCTGGGTCTGAAAGTACATTCTTAAATAGAACTTTGTCAAACATATTTACTGCATACTGAATTGCACATGGAGGAATCCTCTTCCAAAGAAACACAAGCACTTTGAAGAACAAATTCTGCACACCATACTCATCTAAAAGGAGACAGTTAATACAGTAAAACAAGGGCATCCAGCACTTTATGATAAAATGGGATTCATGATGCTTTAAAACCCTGGAGTTCACAACAATAGAGATTTGTATAGAGAGCCAAATTGCACTGCCCTTACTTTAGAAGAAGCCTTGCTGCGGTCAATGAAGGTGTTTGCAGGGTAAGATGCTAGCAGCATGAGGGTCACGAGATCTATTTCGTTATGTGTAAAACTCCTTAAAGCACTTACCAGAGCAAGTCAAACAATAGAGTAATGCTGCTCAACATCTGCAAAGAAAACCTACCATGTTCCCCTGCAAGTGAAGACCCTAAATAGTTGCATGCCACATAAATATCATCTCATCAAAGATTTTGGGAAGCAATAGATTTTAAGACTACAGATGAAGTGCTTCGTTTTCTCCAGAGACAGTGGTAGTTGCTACATTTTTTCTACTCTGTCATGACACAGCTGTGTGCCTAGAACATGTTGTATTCATAATTTTCACTTTCCTGTCATTGCGAAAGAGCTGCATGTTTGGATGCTGTTCTAACGCTTAATGCAGATGTTTTGCTGTGCTTTTTGAAGGAGGCTGTGCATTGCATGTGACACTGCACCCCAGCTAGCGGGGCACCCCGGAGTGCCTGGAGCAGGGATGGTGGTGGCTGATGGCTCCTCACTGCCCAGCCTCAGGGCTCACATGCCAGCTGCCCACACGCCATCTTGCAACAAAGCACAAAGGTGCAAGTTTAGGGCACAGGCAAGTTATTTCAGAGTTCAGCCCCATGCGTCCAGCACAGCAAACACATTTACATGCATTTACTTCCTCCACAATGAATGAACTGCATTATGTGTGGGCAGATAGCTTCAGAGCACAACCCCAGAGGCATCCCTAGGGAATGCAGAAGACACTGTTAAGCCAAAGTTTAAACAGCAATAATACTGTGCTGCTTCTGCTTCCTCATGGATATATTATATGAATGTGACATCTTTCCATTTCATTGCATTAAGTCTCTGCAAGCTCTCCCACACATCGTTCAACAGTAATTGTATCTTATATACCCAATAAATCTCTGTCTAAATGCATTTAATGATTATACCATTTTCCTTCCTGCTAGAAAGGTTTCTTACATTTGTCACAAGGTGAGTCTGATTTCTAGAGACAGCCTCGTCCTCTGTTTCATTTCAGCTGTCTGTCATGTTGACTTGACGGCTATGTTGGATAAGTTGTATTTGCAGTGTTGCAGCTCATTGGGTTGGGTATTGTCGATTTTCTTATTTGCTGTAAAAACAATAACATTTTTAAATTTACAACTCTTAAAGCCAAAACTCACACTGGATCCTGGCTTCCCATAACTGCTTGTCTTACAGGCATTGAGCGGAGCTTCACAAACTTGTTTGCTTAAATTGAAGAGCTACCAGTTGTCAGTGGGGGAGAGGGGGTACGTTCAGATATATCTCACGGCAGGAAAATTAATGTCATGACCCTCATCCACTTCCATATTACTCTGTTTTGTCCCTGTGAAATGTTTTGGGGATTAAGAGAGTTCTATCTGGAGCTTATAGTGTCAAATTCAGATTCTGTCTCAGCTGAAGAGGAAGTGAAAAGTAAACATTTAAAGAGGCAATGAGAGAGGCTGGCTTGCTCCCTGTCCTATGGCTCTCCACTCCAAGACCAAGGTCCAGAAACATTTTAGCCAGATCTGTGCAATCGCCTGCTGGCTTCTTGCCCCACATCACTCCCAGTGGCAGACAGACAGAAAAGCCAAAAAAGCTGGTTTTGGAAGCTGAAGGAGTTACACCACCATCTATGGTCTTTGACAGATGTAAGGGCTGACACTTGAAGCGGGCAGGATTACAGCTTGGGCCTGGAGAGGGAAGGAGGGAGGTAGGCATGGATGGATGGGTGGATGGATGAATGGATGTCTTATGGGTTATCAAGGACAGGAGTGCTGTGGGGAGGTGCCTCTGGACTTCCCTTGCAGAAGAGGCGCAAGCCCCCCTGGTTGCCATCCTTACTGTCCACAGTAGCAGGTGTGCCCCCATTGAAACATGGGCCCAGCACCCACAGCCCTGCTTCCCAGTGGCAGCAAAGCTGAGGGCACCACAATACTGCAAAGTGGTGATTACAGATGTGGAAATGCCAGTGTGGGAGAAGGTCTGCAAACATTCATAATGCAAACACATTAGGTGAGGTGAATGCACACAGGCTTGCTGCTGGCAGCTGGGTATCCCACAGGGCTAGGCATTACTTCCCTTTAAACACCCCCCCCCC